AGGCTGAGGCTGAAGCAGGCTGAGGCTGGGGCAGGCTGAGGCTGAGGCTGAGGCTGAGGCTGAGGCTGAGGCTGAGGCTGAGGCTGACGCAGGCTGATGCTGAGGCCGAGGCTGAGGCTGATGCAGGCTGCGGCTGAGGCTGAGGCCGAGGCTGAGGCCGAGGCTGAAGGCAGACTGAGGCTGAGGCTGAAGCAGGCTGAGGCTGAGTCTGAGGCAGGCTGAGGCTGACGCTGATGCAGGCTGAGGCTGAGGCTGAAGCAGGCTGAGGCTGAGGCTGAGGCAGGCTGAGGCTGAGGCAGGCTGAGGCTGAGGCTGAGGCTGAGGCAGGCTGAGGCTGAGGCTGAGGCTGAGGCTGAGGCTGAGGCAGACGCTGAGGCAGTTCTGAGGCTGAGGCAGGCTGAAGCTGAGGCTGACGCTGATGCAGGCTGAGGCTGAGGCAGGCTGAGGCTGAGGCTGAGGCTGATGCAGGCTGATGCTGAGGCTGAAGCAGGCTGAGGCTGAGGCTGAGGCAGGCTGAGGCTGAGGCTGAGGCAGGCTGAGGCTGAGGCAGGCTAAGGCTGAGGCTGAGGTTGTGGTTGAGGCAGGCTGAGGCAGACGCTGAGGCAGGCTGATGCTGAGGCAGGCTGAGGCTGAGGCTGATGCAGGCTGAGGCTGAGGCAGGCTGAGACTGAAGCCGAGGCTGAAGGCAGACTGAGGCTGAGGCTGAAGCAGGCTGAGGCCGAGGCTGAGGCAGGCTGAGGCTGAGGCTGAGGCAGGCTGATGCTGAGGCAGGCTGAGGCTGAGGCAGGCTGAGGCTGAGGCCGTTGCAGGCTGAGGCTGAGGCAGGCTGCGGCTGAGGCTGAGGCTGAGGCTGAGGCCGAGGCCGAGGCTGAGGCTGAGGCAGGCTGAGGCAGACGCTGAGGCAAGCTGATGCTGAGGCAGGCTGAGGCTGAGGCTGAGGCTGAAGCAGGCTGAGGCTGAAGCAGGCTGAGGCTGAGGCCGAGGCTGAAGGCAGATTGAGGCTGAGGCTGAAGCAGGCTGAGGCTGAGGTTGAGGCATGCTGCGGCTGAGGCTGCGGCAGGCTGAGGCTGAGGCAGGCTGAGGCTGAGGCGTCGGCAGGCTGAGGCTGAGGCTGAGACAGGCTGAGGCTGCGGCTGAGGCAGGCTGAGGGTGAGGCAGGCTGAGGCTGAGGCTGAGGCAGGCTGAGGCTGAGGCAGGCTGAGGCTGAGGCTGAGGCAGAGGCTGAGGCTGAGGCTGAGGCAGGCTGAGGCAGACGCTGAGGCAGGCTGATGCTGAGGGTGGCTGAGGCTGAGGCTGAGGCTGAGGCAGGCTGAGGCTGAGGCCGAGGCTGAAGGCAGACTGAGGCTGAGGCAGGCTGAGGCTGAGGCCGAGGCTGAAGGCAGACTGAGGCTGAGGCTGAAGCAGGCTGAGGTTGAGGGTCAGGCAGGCTGAGGCTGAGGCTGAGGCAGGCTGAGGCTGAGGCAGGCAGAGGCTGAGGCTGAGGCTGATGCAGGCTGAGGCTGAGGCAGGCTGAGGCTGAGGCCGAGACTGAAGGCAGACTGAGGCCGAGGCTGAAGCAGGCTGAGGCTGGGGCAGGCTGAGGCTGAGGCTGAGGCTGACGCAGGCTGATGCTGAGGCAGGCTGAGGCCGAGGCTGAGGCTGATGCAGGCTGAGGCTGAGGCAGGCTGAGGCTGAGGCCGAGGCTGAAGGCAGACTGAGGCCGAGGCTGAAGCAGGCTGAGGCTGAGGCTGAGGCAGGCTGAGGCTGAGGCAGGCTGGTGCTGAGGCAGGCTGAGGCTGAGGCTGTGACTGCGACTGCCGTGGCCACTGCGACTGTCATCGCGAATGCGACTGCGAGAATGCTTCCAGATATGCTTCTACACATTGCTGTTAGGTTGCTTTGCCGGGATAGTTTTCTTTTTCAGAACTTGAGCTCGCTCCTCCACAGGCAAGGATCATATCGTAGTTTCTTTGCATTTTCGGCCCTGGTCCCGCCTTGTCCCTTCGCGTGGACTGTCGCGCGCAAATGTTTTCTGTTCCGTTCATCATCTGTGTTAGCTTGACTCTGCCGTGTGCTTGGCTTGTCTGGGCAGAGTTTGAGGCTTCTCAGTCGACGCGGGAACGAGTGGCGTCGCGTCAGCTCACCTAGCCGAAGTGCGAAAGAGAACGCGTTGCAGGCCCATCAGCGTTTCTGCATGGGGGCTGCGGCTGCGCCGCCGCCGCAGCCGGGGCGGGGGGCGAACGAGGGGCGGGGCGGGAGGCCAGGGGGGCGCTGGGCAAGGGAAGCAAAGAGGAACAACAGAAGGGCACAGAGAAGAAAACGAACTTGACGATACGGGGGGGTACGACAAAGACAGGACGAGGAAAAGGATCGCACAACGGCACGCATTGCGTAAGGTACGTGCCGAGTTGAAGCCTTGTGGTGCCTTTGCGGAGGGCCTGTTGGCTCCCAATGATGCCCGAAATGCCTGGAGGCACATTCTGGTGGCCTCAAGATGGGCCTAAACAGAGGTTCAAAGGCGCATTCTGGAGGCCTGCGTTTTATGTGTTACTGTTACGTGCTGTGTGTGTGTGTTGATGTTGTTGCTGTTGTTGTCGTTGTTGATGTTGTTGTATGTGTACACACACACACTTTTACAAAACAAAACATACATATATATATATATATATATATATACGCATACATACAACAATACATGATTGCAGTGATTCCTCGACGCGCGGGGGCTCTGGCTTCAAGCTCTCATTCGGCGGGCGCCCGCGCGCCCCGTTTCTCCGCGCACCATCCAGTGCATGCTGGCCTCGCTCCTGGCGGCGGCGGCGTCCTCTTGCAGCCGGCGGGCGCCTGCTGCCTCCCTGGCTGGGGCCGGCGCCTCGCTGGGCAGCGCGGTGCCTGGGTCCGCTGTGCAGACCGTCAACGTGCACCTGACCCCTTGCGGGGCCGGCGGCTCGCCGGCGGGCGCGGCCCCGCCCTGCGACACGAGACGTGGGTACGCAGACGGATCCCGAGGAGCCGGCGCCCCGGCCGATTCTGGCCGCCCCGCCCCGCGCGCCCCGAACGGCGCGCGCCGAGACCTGGGCCCACGCGGTCTGGGCGAGCCCAGCTGCTCCGGACCTCGTGGGGGTCCACTGCGGCGCGCGGCGGGCTTGGGAGGCCATCGCCGGGCGGATCGGCGGGTGCCGCTCTTTCCGCGGCGACCGCCTGCGCCGCTTCGCCTCGGAGGACGAGGCGATTGCTGGCTACCTCGCCGAGGCCGCCCGCCACGGCGCCCCTGCGCCGCCTCCTCTCCGCCGCTGGTGATGATGGCTCAGGAGGAGAACGCGGTCGACACTGGCGAGGAGGGGGACGAGGACCTCAGCGCTTGGTTTTTGCGCGCCACGCCCCAGAACGTGCCAGCCGCGGCGCGGCTGCCCGCCCCTGCGGTTGGAGAGATCGCTGGAGAGTTCGGGTTCCTCACGCTGAAGGCTGGCGAGGGCGAGGTCTACGCCTTCCACGACGATGGCCGGGGGTCCGACCCAGCGGCTGCTGCGAAGGCGGTCCCCGCCATGATGCTGGCCTCTCTGGACTCTCTGCCGGGCGCTGGCGAGCCCGCGCTCGTGACGACAGGCGCGCCGCAGGAGATGAGGCTGGCGCCGCCCGCCTCCGGACCGCCGCTCCGCCCCCCTCCGGTGCCCGGGCTCCAGCCAGCGGTCGCCGAGGCTGGGTTCGGCGCGCGGTTCGCAGGGGAGGCCTCTCTGCTCCCTCCCGCCGCCACGACGCCGCCGAGCGAGCTGCTGGAGCAGCAGCGGGCCTGCGCGGTCGAGGAGTTGGGGAGCCTGGCCGTGGAGGTGGCGGAGCTGAAGCGGCAGCGGGCAGCCCCTCACGCGCAGCCGGCTGCTCTGCCCGCCCCCCCGAAGGCGCCGACCAGGAAGGCCCTCACCAGGCAGGCGCCGCAGCAGCAGCAGCGGGCCCTGGAGCAGATCCTGGTCGGGCAGAACGCGCTCTGGGAGAGGATCGCAGCTTTGGAGGGCTTGCCCGCCGCGCGCGCCGCTGCGGCCGCCGTCGGGCCACCTCCGCCCCGCTGGGGAGGCGCGGCGGACCCGTTCCCGCAGCGGCCCCCCGCCGGCCAAGCGACCTCGGGCTCCCAAGGCCCTGCTCTGTCGCCGGGCCCTCCGCCCCCACCCCCACGCAGCTCTGCCCCTCCGCTAGCGGGCCAGACCGCGGAACCCCAGCCCCCTGTGGCTCCCGCAGGGGCCGGCGGCCGCGTGGGCCAGCTGACGACCCGGCTGGTCCAGCAGGCGTCATGGATGGGGGACTTGGCTCAGAGCGGTGGTCGCCTACCAAGCGCACTGTCGCTCCTGGCGGACGGCGGGCGCGACGACGGGCTTGGCGAGAGCACCGGCATGCAACTTGGCGGCGCGCGCGGCGCTGCCGCCCTGAGGCGTTTCCGATGTCAGGTCCAGAGCAGCCCCCAGGCCTTCTCCGCCATGGCCAGGAGGAACCGGCAGCTCAACATGACGGGTGCCGCGAGCGAGGAGGGCATGAGCGACTCCATGATCGGCTACGCCAAGGACACGCTGGCCCTCGAGGACGCGGAGCGGATGCTGGTGCCGGCTGCCGCCCCGAGGGCCGAGGAGGACGGGGCAGGGGGGGGGGGGCCCAAAGCGCCAAGGCAAGGCCTCTGGCGCGCCCCCCCACGAGTGAGAGCGGGGCTCCCTGGGCTGGCTGGCCCGGGAGCTCTGCATGACGCTGCCCCAGCCTCGTGGCCGCGCGGACGCGCGGGGGACCGCAGGAGGCTGGTGGGCGGCAGCAATTCGCTGGACGTGGGCATCCGCTGGGGTTTTGTCCTGATCCGCCGCCTGCGCGGGCTTCGCACAGCCTTCGGTGCCTTCGTCCGCTCCTCCATGCACGCCGCTGGGTTCCAGGAGGTTGCGACTCCTGCTGCCGGTCTGCTGCCCTGCCCCCCGCCCTTCGGGTGGGCTGCTGGTGCCCCCCCGCGGGGCGTGCGCGCTCGCAGGCGATGGCTTCGCACTCGCGTCGAGCACATGTGGGTCAACGCCGTCGTCCTCGCTCTCTCCCACCTGTACCTGGGCGAGTCGCGGAGCTGCCCGCCGCGCGCCCGCGCGGGGAGGCCTCTCAGTTCGTCTCAGTCCGAGATGGCGTCCAGGCTGAGGAGGCTTGTGCGACCGATGCGCCGGCCCCTGCAATGGCAAGGTGGCCGCGTGGAGAAGGCCGACGCTCGGCTCGACTATCTCTTGAATCCGATGCATCTCCCCTTGGGCGCCGTGGCGCCCTCTCCTGACTCCGAGGTGATGACCGTCGACCCGAGCAAGGCTCCCTTCGCCAAGGCCGAGTGCCACTTCGACCCCCTGGCGTTCCTGGCCCCGTTTTCCGCCGCCACGTTCTTAGAGCCTCGGCTGCCGGCGCGGGATGGGCCGGGCGCTGGCCCTCTGGCGCGCGCGGTCGGGCCCCCGACCCGACCCCTCCGGCGAGGCCGGCCCGCCAGGCGGGCAAGCCTGGCGACCTCCTCCAGTACCTGAAGCAGTGGGATGACGTGGGGCGACTGGAGCTGGTCGACGCGGCCGACTCCCCGCAGGCCCTGCGAGGTACCCTGTTCCCCGTGTTCAAGCTCGCCCACGCGCAGAGGGTCGTCTTCAATCGCATCGCTCGCAACTCGGCGGAGTTGCCGCTCGGCGGCTTCTCCAGACTGACCCCGAGCGCCGCTACGCTGGTGGACCTGGAGGTGCCGGCTGGCTGTCTTGCGCGTCTGGGCGGACGACCTACAGGACTTCTATCCCGCCTTTGACTGCACTTGCGACATGGTCCGCACCAATGACATGGCGCTCCCCCTCCCGACGAGGCTCTACGAGGGCTTCGCAGCGCTGGGCCGGCTTCGGAGGCGCTGCCGTCGTGGGGGTCGCGAGCTCCCCGAGAAAGTGGTTCCCTGCCATGGCGGCCTGATCGTGGGAGGACTGAACGCTCCCGACTGGGCGTGCGAGTCCCACATGCGGCTGCTCGCCCACGCTGGCAGCTTCCCTCCAGAACGGCGGGTGCTGAACCGCCACCTCGCCCCCGAGGGGTCGGCCTGGGAGGGCGTCGTGCTGGACGACCACTTCGGGCTGGCGGTCGACGCTCCAGGCTCGCGGGAAGCTCGGCGAGCTATCGAGGAGTCTTTCGCCCGTGCGCGCGAGGGCTATGCCGAGGCTGGCCTCAGGGTCAGCGCGGGCAAGGAGGTGAAGGACGCGGCGGAGGCGACGGTCATCGGGGCAGAGCTCCTGGGCCACGACCGGCTCGTCGGCGCCTCGCGCACCCGCAGGCTGGCGTTGGCCTGGATGGGCCTGTCCATGGCCCGATGCCGACGCTCCACTACGCTCGGGCTGCAGAGGTTCCTTGGCATGGGGCTTTTTGCCGCGCTGTTCCGGCGGCCGACCCTGTCGCTCCTCCACTACCGCTACAAGGAGGTCGACGTCGGCCGTGACCCGCACGAGGTGTTCGACCTGAGCAGCGCGACCTGCAACGAGTGCGCCCTGTTCGCGGTTCTCCTCCCGCTGATGGCCACCGACCTCTCCGCAGGCTGGGGGCCGCACGTTCTGGCCTCGGACGCCTTGCACCTGGCCAGAGCGTCCGTCAAGACGCCTGCCTCAGCGCCCATCGCCAGAGCTTTTTGGCGTCAGCGCGAGCAGCGAGGCGCCCGTACGTGGCTCTACCCCTCAGGCTGGGCTGCCCTTGCCCACCCCGAGGACGGCGCCGTCCTGCAGGACCTGGAGGAGGATGCCGTCCCTCCCCCTGGCGCCGTCGACCCGACGGCCTCGCTGATCGAGTACTTCGACGTGCTGGAGCTCTGCTGCGGGGAGGAGGCCCGTCTCATGGGCTACCTCGCGGACCGGGGCCTGCGCGCGGGCCCGAGGATAGACATCAAGTGCCACAAATACTGGGACCTGGTCGACTCACGCTTGGCGGAGTGGGTAGTGTGGCTGATCTGGCAGAGACGCGTCAAGATGACTATATCACAGGTTCCATGCACCAGCTTCTCCATCGCGAGGCACCCGAGGCTCAGGTCCAGGGCGCGGCCCTGGGGTTTCGACCCATCTTCGACTCCGACGCGTCTGGGGAACGTCCTCTTCAGGGTGGGCATGCTGGCGCTGTTCGCCCACCTTCGGGTCACGGTACCGGCTTGCACGAGCACCCCCTGACGGCCTACTCCTGGTACACGCACATCGTCGAGTTCCTGCTGACGCACGAGGCCGTAGAGCGCTTCGACATCTCGATGTGCCAGTTCGGTGCGCCCTGGAAGAAGGACACGAGCCTCCTGGTCGTGCGGGGCTCCTGGCTGGCGCCTATGGCGAGGCGCTGTCGCGGAGGGCACAAGCACACGGTCTTAGAGGGCGGCCTGACTCCCAAAGCCGCGCTCTACCCGCACGGCTTCTGCGACGAGCTGTCTAAGCTGATCGCCGACAACCTGGACGGGCCGACTCCGCCGTCAGCCGACTCCGCCGCCACCGGCGGAGAGCTCGGCGCCCGCTGGAGCGTTCGAGGCCCTCTGGCTGAACGACTGCGTTGGCTTCGCTCCCTGGCAGCTGCATTGCCATCGCCTTTTCCGCAAGCCCCTCCACATCAACCTGCTGGAGATCGACGCGGCCTGCGACGCGGTGGACGAGCAGGGCCTACGGTTCCCCGATTGCAAGCACAACCTCCTCCTGGACTCCCGCGTCTCGATCGGGGCCATCAGCAAGGGCCGCTCCTCATCGACTGCGATCAACAAGCTCTTGAGAAGGAGGGCCCCGTTGCAGCTGGCCACGGGCTCGTACATCGGATGCCACTTCGCGCCGACGCGATTGCAGCCAGCCGACGTCCCGTCGCGCACGCTCCGCGACCCGGCGCGCGCTCTGGCCCGCGGGGCCGAGGCTCCGCCTCCCGCTCCGTGCTGGCTGGCCAGCCTCGAGGCTGGGGACGCCTCAGCCTTCCGCGCTTGGGCTGCGCTCCCGCTGCAGCGCCGGCAGCAGTCTCGGTGGGCTTGGCTGGTGGCGCGCCTCTGGCGTGGGCTCTTGCGGCTCGCCCCTCGACCGCGGGTGCGCGACCCCGCGCTGGGCTTCCCGGGCGAGGGCCCGCGCGGCGGAGGCGGCTTGCCGAGGAGGCACCCCCATGGAGGTGAGCAGGGTTTCATCCCCTGGTCAGGTGGCGGCCCGGCTCCTCCCGGGCACGGCCAGCCTTCATTGGGGCCGGGCTCGTGGAGCCCCGGCACTGGCCTCCCGCGCCGCTGCAGCTGGGCCGGCGCAGCCGCGGGCCCGCCTGGTCGGGCTCTTGGTGCCGCTGCTGCTGCGGGGCCCTGCGGCCGCGCCGCGCCCGCCGACCTCCCGCCCCGCGGGGGCGGACCTGGCGGCCGCGCGCGGCCTGGCGCCAGTGGTCCAGACGCGCCGTGCTGCCATCGTCTCGCAGCTCCAGCACTGGATGGCGGACGCAAATCGTGCCCTCCGACACCGACTCGACGCGTCGTGGGACGTCGTGGGACATCTCCTTCGCGCGGGAGCACCTGACGCCTGGCTCGAACCACCAGGCGATGCCGGAGGCGCTGCTGCTCGCTTCGGCGAGCCTTGCACTGGCGTGGGGCTGGTGCGACGTCTCCGGCGGCCCGATCCTCGGCTTCGTCGGGATGATGAGGCCCTTCGAGTTCCTGAGGCTGAAGTTCGGGGACCTGGCGCTCCCCTTGCGGACGTTGGATCGTCTGCATTCAAGGTATGTGCACGTGGGCGCGCCCAAAATGTGACGCCTATGAGCGCGCTGCGTGCACATCAGGGTTGATGTCCCGCAGTTGTGCATTTCTTCGAGGCCCTCTCACTTCTGTCCTCCCCTCGCTCCCTTCTCTTGCATGATGATGCCCGTGTTCTCAGATGTTGTCTGAATTCCCTCAAGATTTTCTTCGGAATTCAACGTTCAGACAAAGGCGGCATCACCCCAGCGCCCCTCCGCTCGGGAGGGGCCACGTGTTGGTATAGGCTCACAGATTCGCCAGACTGGGTTCGCTACAGGGGCTGATGGCTCTCCAGTAGGTTGCTAAAGATTTTTATCCAGGAGATCGAGGCTAGTACGCTCCTCGCGGACCTCCCGAGTCCCCTCCGTAGTAAAGTCCGGCTTTTCGCCGAGGCTGCCAGCGCACCCCCCCCTTTGCGAGGCCACCTGGCAGCTTCTGTCTTCGAGTCGTTTGCCGAGGCCGAGCGACGTCGACCCCCGCCTTTCCGGTCACCGTCCTCGCGTGCCGCCGCCGCTGCCAACAGAGCTCTTCGGCGCCCGCTTCGCTCCTCCCTCCCCCGCCCCTTCTACCACCAAGAGCGGTTGTGGCTAGTCGAGGCCGGCCCCAACAGTGGCCGTCCTCGTGCTTTCAGAATGTTTGCAGAGGCAGTGGTGAGCCCGGAAAAGTGCAGCGGCCCCGTGTTTTAAGAGGAGCTTTTTCAGCAGAGGAAGGGCATCGCTGATTGCAGCGATTCCTCGACGCGCGGGGGCTCTGGCTTCAAGCACTCCCGTGCCCACCCACCCTTGGCTAGTCGAGGCCGGCCCCAACAGTGGCCGCCCTCGTGCTTTCAGAGTGTTTGCAGAGGCAGTGGTGAGCCCGGAAAAGTGTAGCGGCCTTGGGTTTTAAGAGGAGCTTTTTCAGCAGAGGAAGGGCATCGCTACATACAGACAGACAAACAAACACACATATACAACAATACATACATACACACATACCTATAACGGCGCGCGAGGGCCCGAGCCCCCGGGGCCGCGACCTCTACCGCAATTGCGTGCGCGCAGGCCTTCGGGGGGCCCCGGAGGCCCACAAGACGCCACCAGAAAGCGCCGAGATAATCCGAAACGCTCGACCCGCGACGCCCACAGGCCGCTCCAAGACGCACAGCCCGCTCCGAGACGCGCAAGATGGCTCCCAAGACGCCCCAAGAGGCCTCCCAAACGCCCCGAGAATCTCCCGGGGCCCCCAAGACTGCCCCACGGGCCCTCAAGAGGGTTCCAAGACGACCCAAGAGGGTCCCAAGACGGCCCGAGAGGCCCCCAAGACCGCCAAAGAGAGCCCCAGTACGAGCCCCACACGGGTCCCAGAGGTGGACAACCACATTCACATTCCGAGCTTTCTGCCCCAGGGGCTCCCAGGAGGCCTTAAGGGGCCAAAAATCGCTTCGGAGGGCGGTCCGACGAGCGTCGCGGCGGCCCCAGCCAGCCGCCCACCACCCTGAAGACGGCTTCGACGGATCACGGGACGTTTCCCGCGGCCCCAGAGACTTCGAAGACGCCTAATAACCCGTGCAATTTGCCTTCCACGAGGGCCCCGAGAGGCAAACATAGGCACATTCCCTTTGGAAAACGCACATAGTTACCGTATCCATGTTTTGGTCTTAGCACCTCCTTGACGATCTCAGGGACCCCTGAGATCGCCCCTTACACGGCCCAAGAGGCGCCCCAGAGCGCGCCAGGACGGCCCAAGAGGGTCCCAGGCCGGTCCCAGAGGCACCCAAGACGGCCCCATCGGTCCCCTAGAGGGCTCCTACAGGAATCCAAGATGGGGCAATCCAATTGGAATTGCCAGCCCCACGCCCAAGAGGACCCCCGAGACCCCAAGGAGGCCCCTAAGCAGCCAACGCGATGCCTCCAAGACGCCTCATAACCCGTGCAATTTTACCCACCAGGCGGCCCCGAGAAGCAAAAACGACCCCGTTCCCTTCGTATAACGTACGTGTTAATGACATTCGTACGTTTCGTCTTCGCACCGTGCTTGGCAGCCTCGGGGACCCCTACGATCGCCCCAACACGGCCCAAGAGACCCCCCACAGGTCGCCAAGACGGCCCAATATGGCCCCAAGACAGTCCAGAGGCAGCGGGCACGGCGCGAACGGCATCCCAAATGTCAGAGTGTTGGGGCGCGGTTCATGGGGGAGCGCCTGGGGGCCTTTGCCCTGAGGTTTTCCTTCGCCATGTTCATGCTATCGCTTGCGTCCCTGCAGCCACATGCATGACCCGCTCAATCAGTGTATTCTTGGACGGCCCCAAGGGCGCCCAATATGCCCCAAGTGCCACCGCTGCCTCCTTTTCGCCGCGGGCATTTCGGTTCGAGTTTGGCGCCGCGCCCGCCGGGTCCTTATCTCCAGCTTCGTTATTTCTTCCTCTCTCTCTCTCTCTCTCTCTCTCTCTCTCTCTCTCTCTCTCTCTCTCTCTCTCTCTCTCTCTCCTCTCTTTCTTTCTTTCTTTTTTTTTTTTTTCTCTCTCTCTCTCTCTCTCTCTCTCTCTCTCTCTCTCTCTCTCTCTCTCTCTCTCTCTCTCTCTCTCTCTCTCTCTCTCTCTCTCTCTCTCTCTCTCTCTCTCTCTCTCTCTCTCTTTATCTCGCTCTCCACCTTCTCCGCCTCGGCCTTTCAGGGAGTGTCCACGAAAAGGGTTTAATCTGGAGTTAACCTTCCTCGGGGTGGACCCCTGCGACGCCCAGCGCCCGCCAGAGGGGTTTAATCTGGAGTTAACCCTCTTCAGGGTGGACCCCTGCGACGCTCGGCGTCCACGAGGAGGGTTCAATCTGGAGCGAACACCCTCCCAGGGTGAATACATCGACGCTCACCCAACGGGGGGTTAACTCCAGAGTAAACCTTTTTTTTGCACTCCTGATTACCGCCTCTTCCCACTACACGTCACCACCTTCATCGTCGCTACCATATTCAACATCACCCTCGTCATCGTCGTCACCATCACCATCACCACCACCCATCATCACAACCATACGCAATATGCTCATCGCATTCATGCTTGTCCTCCTCGTCGTCATCCGGCTTCTCCATTCCACATCATCATCATCATCATCATCGTTGCCACCTTCGTGCACGTGTCACCACCATCATCACCACTACCATCTTCATCACCACCGCCAACACCATCGTCGCCACCAGCAGACACGTCACCACCATCATCACTACCATGTTCCTCATCACCTTCGTTATCGTCGTCACCATCACCGTCACCATCACCCATCATCACAATGATACGCAATATGCTCATCGCACTCATGATTCTCCTCCTCGTCCTCACCCGGCTCCATTCCATTCCATTCCATTCCATTCCATCATCATCATCATCAGCAGCATCATCATCGTTGCCACAGTCATGCACGCGTCACCACCATCATCACCTTTCCATCTTCATCACCACCAATACCATCGTCGCCACCAGCATACACGTCACCACCATCATCACTACCATCTTCCTCATCACCGTCGTTATTGTCGCCACCATCACCATCACCATCACCCAGCATCACAACCATACACACTATGTTAATCGCACTCATGCTTCTCCTTATCGTCCTCACCCGGCTCCTCCATTCCGTTCCATCATCATCAGCATCATCATCATCGTTGCCACCTTCATGCACGTGTCACCACCATCATCACCACTACCATCTTCATCACCACCGCCAACACCATCGTCGCCACCAGCAGACACGTCACCACCATCATCACTACCATCTTCCTCATCACCTTCGTTATCGTCGTCACCATGACCATCACCATCACCCATCATCACAACCATACGATATATGCTCATCGTCACCATCACAATCGCTTATCATCGCAACCATACGCTATATGCTCATCGCCATCTTCGCGCGCGTCTTTACCATCACTGTCACCACCATCATCATCATCATCATCAGCCTCGTCATCGTCGTCACCATCACCGTCATCACCACCATCACCCATCATCAACGCCGTGGCCTACATCATCCTCATCGCCATCATCCTCGTCCTCCTCGTCCTCACCCGGCTCCTCCATTGCCCTCGACCCCCTCCTCGATCAGATTTGTTCATACACATTTTCCCGTCCTCCTTCCTCGCTCTCCTCCTCCTCCCCCCGTGTTGCCTCCTCCCCCTAGCAGGATGTTCACAGGGATCCACAGAAGGGTAGCGGAGTCAATTCAGGAAGGGGAAGGAGTTAACTCCAGCGGGGATTTGGCTTCAACTCCGGAAGGGGATGGGCTGGAGGAGAGCGTCACTTGCAGGATATGGGGAGGCTGGGCTAATTCAGGAAGGGGGGAGTTAATTCTTGACGCTTCGCGTATCCCCACCAGCAAATTTCTTTCGCCGCCTGACCCTTGTCTCGCGGCCGCGACCAAACAAAGTATCCCTACCAGCCCATCCAGCAGCGATGCCCAGGTGAGTGGAGGTGTTGTTGTGAGAGGTTCTAGGAGGTCTCTTGTAGCCATCATGGGGCTCTCTTGGGGTCCTGTTGGGGTCCTCTTGGGGTGCTCTTGGGGCCCTCTTGGGGCTCTCTTGGGGCCCTCTTGGAGCTCTTTTGGGGCAATCTTGGGGCCCTCCTGGGGCTCTTTGGGGGGGTCAGAGAGGTCTCTTGCAGGGTTTTCGCACCATTGTGGTCTCCATACTCCTCCTCCTGCCTCCTCGCTTCTCTCCTGGCCGCTGGCGCAGCAGCTCCTCGCACAGCCATCCCTCTTCTGTGGAGTCAGCGCTCCAGTCTTCAGGCGGGATGGAAGGCGCGTGGTGTTACAGGGTTTCCTGCCACGTTTGGCAGCGCCCTGCCGCCTCGGCGGCGACGGGCCGCCTCGCCGCCGGGCCGCGTCGCGGCAGACCTTGTGTGGTCGACGGCGGAGCCGTGGCCTCTCTCGTGTCTGCCGCGGCGCGGCGGCGTCCGGGGCCCCGGGCACGGCGGCGGAGGACAGTGGCGGACGCCAGGCGAGGGCCGGCATTAAGTCGGGCATGTTTTCTACGGGAGGCATCTGCA